ATGTAGCACTGAAAAATCTGCATCTGTGGCATCGATGAGCTTACCTGTGTCAAAAAGAGCCCGTGCAATACTCGCTCTTGAAGGCACAACGCGCGCATTCCATACCGCGTTGAACATACTTTTATATCACGTTACGAACTTTTTATTTATTAACTTTTTAAACTTTATACTTAAACTGAACTTTTTTCACATTTTATAAAGTATACTGTTTTTTTCTTTTTTCTTTTTTCTTTTTTCTTTCTTTCTTTTTTTTTTTTTAAGGGTTTTTTCCCTATAACTTTTTCGTTTCATTTTAAACTTTCAACTTGAACACAACACAAATTAAGAAAGACTGGTAAACCGCGAACCGTTTGTACTGCACTAGAAACTATAACGAACGAACTTTCAACCTGAAAGAATATTTTTTGGGCCTATGGAGAAAGGAAATTAAAGGAAAAAAAATGGAAAGAGGGAAACAGAATGAACGAAACAAATAACAAACTATATTTAATGATATATGAGAGAAAACAGTGATTGTATGATTCGTAACAAAATTTAATTCATTTTAATGGTTGTCTTTATTGATAATTTGTTTTTAAAAAAATGTATATGATTATAATCATTTCAAATATTTATTTGCAATAGAATAAAATTTTGCTACAAAGTTGATCGCTCGACAAGGAATAACATAGGAAAAGTATAATATTTATAATATCAAAGGTTCACTTATTATCAACGGTTTTTAATTAATAATACAGTATCGATTGCAGTAATAAGAGTTCTAAAAACAAAGAAGTATAAATGAAGTATATAACATAACATAATGATGTTTTAAAATATGAAAATATTTTAATTATGAACAAAATTTTTTAAAATACCACTTTGATATCTTTTGGTTTAATAACACAAAATTTGCTTTATTTGCTTCTGGCCAAATTAATTTACTCTCGTACTAACCTATTTATTCGAGGTTCGTTAAATTTATTTATTTAATATATAAAAACTAAATGTATTGATTGTGAGCAGGTATCCATTGTTGGCTAGAATTCATTAACAATAGCAATGAATAATTTTTCTAATAACACATGACACCATAAAAGGGAAAAGCATATTAACAATTTAAAGCAAAAGGAAAATCACGATCACGTCGATGTACGCGCATTCATTTCTTTTACAATTAGTGATTCATCTAGGGCATTCGGAACACGATCTATGGATTGAGGTTAGGAAGAGGATTATAACAATATTACTGCAATACGATCTGCAGGATATTTGTTGCAAAAGCATATTTATCGATTCGCTTATGTCATATGATGAAAGATTATGAAAATTGAAAGGAATTGTTGCGAAAAACATATTATGGGATTCTTACCTTATTCACACGTATGCCTGTGGGCCTTTGGAGATTTCAAAGCTCCCGAGGCTTAAGGCTTCCGACGTCACCCAGGAAATACCGAATGTGCGTATTTTGATGTTCTTGTGGCTTTAGCGTACTTTCAAAACTCGATGATGTGGATCTCTTTAACATCCCCAGCCCATTCTCTATTCCATGAAATCAAAGTTCTTTTAAACAAGGACAAAGACAAACGAAGAAGTTAATCAAGCACAAAACTTTCAGTTCCAATACGGTTACAGTTCGTCATTGATCACGGCTATAGATGATGTAACGCAATGAATAATATATGTCATATATTGTATACGTCGATTCTATCTGCTTTCTCATTGGTTGACAATAATGCTGCACTCATACGATTGGTAACGGAAATAACCAATCGAAACGTAATTCAACCATGATAGGTTATTTCGATATATTAAAGTTTCAAACGAATAAAAAGTATTATTATTAGTTTTATATATCAAATCTATTAATTGTATTCTTAAAAAAAAATAAGATTTAAGGAATATGGAATTTTTTCTTATAGGTATTTATTTTTTAAGAAATTTTTTCTAAGTGATACATAAAGAGCGATATGAAAATTTATAAACAAAAGTAGGAAGAATGTAGATAACGGAATAAACAGGAAATATCATCGAATGAGTTTAAATTCTGAGAATGCATAGAAGTGTACAAATTCAGTTAGAGACGACAAGTGGTCTGAGTGACATCAAGTTAAAGATCTGCTAACGTATACATTTTTATTGTTCTTTTGGCGGTTTTCTTAAATATCTGATCAAACATATAATTATTGGATTTTATTAATAATCGTATTCGAAATACTATTTCAAAATGTTCGTGATCTTTAATTATTATCATTTTTATCGTTTGATATTCTTTTGTCTTGTTGCATTATTAGTCAACGTTAATATAAATTGTTTTGCTTATACCCCTCCAAGCGCAACTGTAGAACCTCTTTATCCGAAAGGATTACGTATATCTGTGCCTCGTAAGTAATTTAATAAAAATGTTCAATTAAAATATAAGTATATAATATACATAATAAATATAATATATAAATATAATATATAAATATAAGTATATAAAATATAAATAAATAAATATAAGTATATAAAATATAAATAAATAAATATAAATATATGAAAAATAAGTAAATAAATATAAGTATATAAAATTACTAATTTTTCTGTGAAACATTTATAATAAATAATATAAATAAATGAAAACAATATACATGCAATAAGAATTATATATTGAGGATAATTATGTTGCATAAGTCATCTGCTGTACTTTCCCATGACTAAACGTGTTTATTTTATACTTGTATAACACGTAAGATAAAAGATTTTAGTCGATATCGCATAAATATTACATAAAGTATATAAAGCTCATATTTATCTTTCTCTTGTTTTTTTTTTTTTTTTCAAATAAATCTCTCAAATAGAGCCGTTATTGAGTATAAAAAAAAGTTTAATGATTTATAAAGTAAAAGACTATTTAAGTTCAAGGTCAATATTACAAACTTACTCGATCGGAAATAAAATGGACATTTAAATCTTTTTTTCTGTTTATTTCTTATAGACGAACAGGGTATCACGTTGGTTGCTTATCATGTAAAGTTCAATGAAGATTTTTATTCATTAGAAGCAGGAGTAATTAGTATTGATATTATAAAGCCTCGCAAAGGCCGATGGGTGTATGAAGATCATACCACCGAACTTAAAGAAGGAGATATGATTTATTTTTGGATACATGTTGTTTATCAAGGTTTAGGATATAATCTTCTAAATCAGGAACACAGAGTAACCGGTTTGTATTAACACGTAATGTTAATGGCCTTGTCCATAGAAATATTCGAATTAAAAAAAAAAAAAAAAAAATTTTTATTCCTATTTTCTTGTTTTTTTCCAAGAATTTTATAATTACGATGGAACGCCAGTTCATTCAAACAACGTAGGAAATTGTGATACGCCCGCAATAACAAAAGTATTCGATAGGGATGGAAAATTGCAAAATGTTTGCATGAATCAATTGATCTTCGAAGATAACTTTAATAGTCTTAATACAACACGATGGACTGTACTCGAACAATTTTCATCTACTCCAGTAATTCAAATATTTTATAGTAATTTTTCGAAAAAAAAATTAAAATAAAAAAGGAAATAGTCGAATCGGATCTTTTTTCTTTTTTTTTTTTTAGGATTACGAGTTTGTCGTTTATAACAACAGTGATGATAATGTGAGTATAAAGAATCAGCAATTAGTAATAATTCCGACGTTTTTGGATGAAAAACAAGGCGCTGATTTTGTACGACGAGGAACATTGAATTTAGAAAGGTAAAATAAATATTATAGTAAATACATTGAATGTTTCTTATATGACTTAATTTTATACGAGAAAAATATTATTTTTAATTTATCTTTTTAATATTTGAAGATGCACGTCTACTGATAGTAAAGACTGTAGATTCGAAGCTATTGGATCACGTATTTTACCACCGATATTGTCCGGTCGTCTCAATAGCAAAAATTCTTTTACGTTTCTTTACGGACGCGTCGAAATAAGAGCTAAATTACCACGTGGTGATTGGATATATCCTTGTAAGTTGTCGATAGGTTTTTTGATGATAACAAACTGATATGACCGATGACATTTATCTCATATTTCCTATGAAGCATAATAATTAGCCAGCTATTTGAATGATTCATCAAGGAAAATTCTTTTCCCTAATTTCTATTGTATTAATACAGTGATAAGCTTGGAAATAGCGAATGATAATAAACAAGAAGGATGGACTCAACCTTTGATAAGAATTGCATCCGCTTCCGGTAATCCGACATTAAGATCACAACAAGGTACTGACCTAAGTGGTTATGTACTTTGTGCTGGAGCATTACCACCAGTTCAAACGAATCAAGGTCAAAGTCCTTACACAGCTCGAGCAGAACTTTTACGAAGAAATTCTGGTATACTCTGGTCTGAAGACTTTCACGTTTACGAGATTGAATGGAGAGAAGATCGTATTCTTGCTAAGGTTGATAAGACGATCTACGGTGAACAAAAGATTGTTGGAAACGCTTTCAATCAACCGGTAAGATTTGATGATTCGAATAACGTGAATTAAATTTATTGATCATCTTAAAATTTCAGTTTTATTTGACCTTGGGCTTAGCCGTTGGTGGCCGTGGTGAATTCCCAGATTCATGTATGAGCATGAATTACATGAAACCTTGGAAAAACGTTGGATCAAAGGTATCGCATTTCGTATAATATATAATGTAAATATGATTAATAAGAATATAATTTATTAATTGATAGGCCATTCTCGATTTTTATGAAGCACGAGATAATTGGTCACAAACGTGGGATAAAGAAAAGACAGATCTAAAAATTGATTACGTAAAAGTTTGGGCAGTGTGATTATGTATGTTATTTTATATATTTCTTTTTTTTTATATCACATTATATATATTTACCATGCCAACAGAAGGGTTATTATAAACATTTACGAATTTATTCTCTCTTAAATCGAATCTCGTATGAAGAATAAATGTAAATGTAGTTAGATCATTCAAGTGTATTAGATATCCGAAATAAATAATTACTTGATTTTCTATATTCTTTACAATCATTATCACCATCATTATTATTGTTAAACTATTTCATAAGAGAGATCTCCTGAAAACGTTTGCCAAGAAGATGGAAAAGGTGGAGTTAGTGAGAATGCTAACAAAGGTCGCTTGATTCCTCGTTGATAGGTATTAAAACCGGTTCCCAGTAATTCAATGAGTCTGCGACCACGAAATCCAAATCTTTGCTGATATGCGTAAGAAGCTCGTGGACCGTCTTCGGGCTTGAATGTAATCATCATAGGACCGGTTTTTCCATTCAAAGGAGAAACCAGCCTGAGAATACCGGCTTCAGTATTTTTATGCAACTTCCAAAGTCCATCATTTGAAAAGAGATTCCGTAAGGTTTTCCACCAATCAGATGGCCAAAAATCAGACGGTAAAGTCCTTGTTGTGTCTGTTATGATTGTACACTCAACCTCATTGATTATATTAAATGTCTGTAGAGGAAAAAAAAATTCAAAAGAACCACATCAGTTTTATCCAGTTGTCCACGACCTATTTAATAATGATAGAAACTCACCGTCGTATATAAAAAAATTATATAAAAAACTATGCAAAAACGCATCCCGACGACACTCGATACGATTCACATGTGAATTGAACGATAAAAGTAGTACGGTTTGCGTCTCTCCTTTATACCTTCTTTCTCTGTAACTTTCTGAGTGATAAAACATGCATAGAATTGATAATCAGTATAGGAATCAATTTCTTCCCAATCCATTGTCATTCCTTGGACGTATTCGATCGTCCTTAAAAACGTAGCTACACGTATCTCGTTTCACATATCGTTAATGATTTTTACTTTCACTACTAATATTACGTCAGGTTCTGGTACTACTCGTGGGGGGAAAAATACATTTTTTCTTGTTTTACCTGCTCCTCTATAAACGACTTCTTTTAATGTACGTAACAGATCAACTTGGTTCTCATTCAGAGACGGTAATATTTATTAAATTGACTTCGTTTAAAATTAATAAAGTTTTATAAAAAGAAATGAATTTGATAATTCGTTCGGTAAGTTTTTCAATGGGATTAATTAATTGTATATACATTAAAGATTTTTCAATAAATTTAAGATGGTATTACTAATGCTATTCTTGATAATTAATAATGGTAAAAATGAATTTGCTGAAGCAACGTTTAATTTTATAAGTGATTTCATACAATACAACGTAGCTGGTATACCTGTTATACACCAAGTGAGTGCACCTTGTTCTCTCTTCAACAACGACTCGATCAACTAATTTGATCTTATACTTTTTTTTTTAAGGAAACTAAATGGAAATTTGATCCGGAAGTTGGAAAAAAGAGAAGAGCCAAATACGAGGCAGAAAATGGTTATCATGGTGAAAAAGCTATAGCTAAATTAAGTATGGGGATTGGATATTTAGAACCATGGGATACGGTAGTTAAAAACAAAAACTGACTGAGTAACATTAAAAGGAAATATTTTTGTTCTGTAAATATCAAAAATGGGATTTGTAAAATTATTCTCTATAGTAAATAAATCATTCAAACAAAATAAATATTCAGTTATTTCCTTCCGATTTATGACCCATTTACGTAAATAATATAATTAATAAGAAAATGTACGTTAAATAATTAACGAAACATATTAGGATTAATAGTTGACTTTGATAAATTTGAAAAAGCGCATCTCACTAAAAATGTTATGATTCATAACATTGACGATGTGACTAAGATTAACTTTTATATATCATGTGATTGCGATATGAACAAAGTACGACATACTTCGAACTTTCACTTTGAGTTTGCTTAGAGAAGGAGGACAAATGAGTGGGGAAACAAGTAAGGTAAAGGCAATGAAGGTAGACATCGATGAACCAGACACACGTCGAATACACATCTATGATGTGCTATTTTGATTTGTTTCTTACCATTATTTACAGTGTGTAACTACCTCACGTTAAAATTGTTACATATTAAGTTAAACGAGAGAAGCTCCAACTAAATATAATGGGGAGACATACGGTAAGTACAATTATCCAAAAGAATATAAAAAAACAATTTTTATAACGTAAAATCATATCGTATCTTCGACTTATGTGTACAGATGATGACTAAAATTATATTATTAATGATCGTTACTGTACTTTTCGGACTAATTGCCGAAAACAAGGCCACGATAGCGCAACCAAAGGCACCGAATTTCCAATATTTTGAACGGTAAAATATATCGGAAACATTTCAAGATCATGCTCGATAAGTCTTTATATAAAATCATTATAAAGAAATTATAGTGTTATATCGTTTAAAGGGGATATTTAATATGAAAGTAGTGTAGACAAGTTATTATATAGTTTTCCTTTAAAATGTTAATACACGTATATGTATATACAATAAATATTTTATATCGATTAATTAATTATTAAACATGTTTATATGAAAAACAATTAAAAACATTATAACAACATCGATTACGAATTAATAACTTATCTATACACTTTCACAAATAATTACGTTTTTAAATACAAATAATGTCTCTTTATGAGAATGAGATTTCTCCTTTTCACTAAATGCGTTTTAATTACTTTTTTTTTGTTTCTTTTTCTTAGGCCAAAATATCGTTATCCGTATTATGACGAGAACGGAAAAGGTAAACTTTTATACGGCTATGGAGGTTCTGATTTGTATGAATATCGAACGTACACTATTCTCGAAGGTATACATTAATTCTAACAGAATAATTATTTTTTAACAGTGCTCCATGTCAATGCATATAATGTGTATAAGTTAAAATTCGATATTTGCGTTATACTGTTTCTTTCTCAGAAATTCTTTTCTAATTAAAGCATTATCATTAAGCATATAATAACAACAATGAATATTTATACGAATTGATTGACTATCATGTAAATAGAGGTATATTTGTACACGATTAAGCTTGCAACAATGAGAAAGAAAAATTATTTATTTCTGTAATCTTTATTGCTTAGCATCAAAGAAAACAACGTCTAAATAGATCGAATATTTTTCATTTTTGATTAATCTATTGTAATTCGATAAAAACTTTTTTCCCGTTGTTGCAAGAATGCTGCATTGTTCACTATGGAATCAAGGAACATTACCAGATCATTTATTTTCCACCTATAATTATCTATATTCTTAAAGATAATAATAAATGTATAAATTTGTAAATGTGTTTGACTTTCTTTCATAGAACAATTATTTACCTACAATTTTTTGTTGATAGTAGACACTCTTGTATGATTTTTAATAAATCAGGATATATCCATAAGATTAATGTGCCTTACTAGAGAATTTCTTTTCTCAAATCTGATGAAATATCGAAATCGTTGCTTAAAGAAGATGACACACACGGGAGTATTATCTCGTGGAAAAAGATACGTGCTATTAATAACCATACACGATATTAAAAGGGTAATGGTATAATATTTGAAGTGCATGGAATGTGCAGAGATTATTAATATCTACCACATGTACAATCATAATTATTCAAGACAAGAAGTGAAATGATCTAATTCTTTTATGGTCTCTGTACTTATAACAAAGACTGTCATCATCTATGTGGGGATAGAAATTTATGAAATTGAATCGAAAATTTTATAAACAGTAAAAAAATGCAGTTATAGACTATGAAAACGGCACAATATCTTTTTTAAGAAGTGTGCGTGTAAATTGCAAATATGCAAGGACAATTGAAAATGTAGTGGAAAAAAGTTAGTAGATGGACGACCAATCGCTTTAGTCGAATTATTTTAATATATTCACTCCACGTGATCTTTGTTCGCCTTATCCTCGGCAGACTGTAACTGTCATACAAAGTCCATCTCTGATTTAATGTAGTATTGTCCACCAGCACGTCGCCTTTGAAGTAACCTTTCCAGAAACTTTTTAATTTCACTAATCACAAACACACTCGATGTCAATGCAACTAAGAATAAAATATCTGAAATGAGATGAAATAGTATCTATCAGCACCTAACTTTCTTTACATCTATACATTTTATATTTACATATATTCTTTACATACCATTTGCAGTTAATGCCTCTGTTTGAAAAACTCTTTGCAATGGAGGAAAATAAATAACTAACATTTGTCCTATTACCGATAATGTTACTGCTACTAAGAACATTTTGTTACTCCATAATCCAATGGTAAAAATAGATTTTTTCTAGAAAACAATAATTAAAATAAAATAATACAAAATAAACTTCTTCAAAGAACTTTAATCCATAATGAAAAATATTTACCTGTGACCTGCAACTTAACGCGTTGAACATATCAAAGAAAACAAAGCAAGTGAATGTCATTGTTGTATCTCTTGCAGTATGACCATCTGATGTCATCTAATATACATGAAAAATACAAAAATGATGTAGTAAATATACATATGTTTAATAGAAGTAATATTTCTTACCTCTCTCTTATATACCCATGCTGTACCCGCAATAATAATAAAAGCAGATAATAATACGTTTATTATAAGATGTTTTGTAATCATAGGTTCTTTAATATTTCGTGGTTTCTGTTTTAAAACATCTTTATCAACAGGTTCTACTCCCAAACTGTAAAATAAATGATATTTAAAATAAATCAATTATGTAGAACTAATAGAGATTAAATTCATATCTAATGTTCTCAAACCTTTGCGCAGGTGGACCATCCATAATAATATTAATCCAAAGTATTTGCATTGCATTTAATGGATTTGGTACACCCATTAATGTAGCAAGAGCAATTAAAGATAGTGCTGCTATGCTGGTGCTTAGTTGAAATCGTACAAAGTTACGAATGTTGTGGAAGATACCTTTACCTTCTTCAATTGCAGCACTAAAATGAATTGCGTGTATTAAATGATAAATGATAATGATAATGAGAAAAATTAATGTTTATTCTTACATAATCGTTCCAAAATCATCATCAACCAATATCATATCAGCTGCTTCTTTACAAACGTCAGTGCCATTCTTGCCCATAGCTATACCTATGTCAGCCTTTTTTAAAGCTACTCCATCGTTTACACCATCTCCTGTCATACCGACAATATTGCCTTCTCGTTGTAATGCCTTTACAATACATAATTTATGTTTAGGTGTAACTCGATAAAAGACACTAACGTTTCCTATTAATTGTTCTAACTGATGCTCAGACATTGAATCGATTTCATCACCAGACATCAGACGTGAATGAAGGGTGTCTAGGCCAATCATACTTGCTGTAATAATATCATCAAAAAGTTATTTAAAAAACAATTAAACTAGAAAAAGAAGATCTTATTATAAAAAAGTATACCAATAGCAACTGCAGTTTCTTTAGCATCACCCGTAACCATCTTAACTTTTACACCACTGTTCATCAGAGTTGCAATTGATTCACGAACATGTGGTCTCGGTGGATCACATATACCCACAAGTCCAACATAGACAAGATCTTGTAGAGAAGAACCACGCGCAAGACCAATTACTAAAAACATACATATGACAGTATATGAGCAATAGCAAGAAAAAAATCTCGATATCCTGTATTGTCATACTTATTAAACAGCACCTCTCAGCCCTTGTTGACCAATATCATAGGCCTCTGTTAAAAATTCTTGATCTTTCTTTTGATTCAAAGGAAATTCCTGACCATTTGCATAATATTTTGTGCATTGTGGCAAAATCTTTTCCATAGCTCCTTTTACAAAATATATTTCCTGCTTATTCTAAAATATGAAAATTCAGAAATTGAAATTGCAGATCGAAAACAAACAATTATGTCTTTGAAGATTTGTGCTTACTTCATCATATTTTGGTGCACATTTAACAGCCATCATCTTTTGTTCAGAAGAAAATGGATATTCTTGGAGGCGCAAATACTTTTCAGCACAACCATACATTCCAAATTTCATTGACAAAGCTAATAAAGCACCTTCAGTTGGCTGGCCAAGTAAAGTGTCATTTTGTATTACGGCATTATTACACGCGCATCCTACTTCTAACATATGACTAATTGCAGTACGTGCAAGTTCAGCATTGTCGCATTTCCTTATCCGCACTTCACCTTTATCGTTATAACCAGCTCCAGTAATATCAGCTATATATCCCTCTGATGTTACGAGAATCGTAGCAGTCATCTCATTTTTGGTGATGGTACCAGTTTTATCCGAGCATATCACATTTACGCATCCTGTATAATGAAATAAAATAAACATACATAGTTAAAGAGATAATGGCATCAAAAATATGACTGAACAAACATAATAAGTTAAAAATAAACGATCTTACCAAGTGTTTCAACAGTCGGTAATTTTTTAACAATAGCTTTCCTCTTTGCCATTCTCATAACACCTAACGCGAGTGTTACAGTAACAACAATAGGTAAGCCTTCGGGTATAGCTGCTACTGCTAAACTGACGCTAATTGTAAACATTTCTAATACTGCCTTTCCTTGGATCCAGCCAAGAAGCATAATAATACCAATGATGCAGAATGAGTAGAATGATAATTGTGTACCCAAAATGTCCATACTCCTTTGCAATGGAGTTTTCGGTGCTTCTTCCGCTTGCATCATTGCAAACACTTCCCCAAACTCACTCTTTTCTCCTGTATTTACTACTATCCCCTAAGATATAAGATGTATAATTAATAATAGAATACACTTTAAAATCTAAATAATGATTTATTTTTAAGTCCTTCTACTTACTTTTCCATTTCCACAACGTACTAACGTTCCCATGAAAGCAATATTTTTCTTTGAAGTTAATCCATTTGTTTTAAGCAAAGGAGTTGTTGATTTTTGAGCTGGCTCAGTTTCTCCAGTGAAACTGCTTTCATCGATAGCCAAATCTATAGCTTCAAATATTCTGATATCTGCAGGTACTCTATCACCAATATTTAAATAAACTACATCTCCAGGAACTAACTTACGAGCAAGAAATGTTTCTATTTGCCCCTCCCGTAAACTGAAAATGAAAACAATTGAAAAGATAAGATATGAGAAGAATCTATTAATTTTGGTTTTTATTAGATACGTTATTATTTACCAGTGACAAGTAGGAGGTACTAGTTTATTTAATTCTTCCAAAGATTTTTCAGAACGATATTCTTGTACAAATGCAACAGTGACGACTATTATAATAGCCTAAAAGGAAAATATAATGAAATATCAACATACTTTTTAACAGAAATACATATTTTGTTTATGAATTTGATATTTACCACTGTAATACTGACAGCATCATCAAATTGCTTCATACAAACACTGACCAAGGCAGATGCAAGCAATAAAAGAATCAATGGATTTTTAAACTGTAAAAAAAAAAAAAAAACACAAACAAATGAACATATATACTCATAGAAATCTAAAAAATTGTTCTTGAAACTATAAAAAATATAATAAACAATGCGAAAGAATGCAAATATACTTGTTCGATATATTTTTTCCATGTAGGTTCCTCTTCCTTAACAGTAAGTTCATTAAAACCAACTAATTGCCTCCTTTGATCAGCTTCTTGCCACCAAAGTCCTGTCCTTACATCGACGTGCAATCTAGCTGCTACCTCTTCTGCACCAAGGCTAGCTGCTTCAGCTGTCGTTAACCACATTTTGGTATCTTGATCTTTATCCTTTAATATAAAATACACAGTTAAAATTATCTATATCATATTAAATGAACATGATTTTATTTACTTTACTAATATATATATATGTATACATGACTATTTAAATATTTTCCCTATTTGTTAATACAATATATGACACTTGCATGTAAGGATTCTCTAACCTGCAAAGAGAATGACGCATAGTTTTAACGCGGATATCTTTTCAAAGCCATACTATATCGTGGTCACTTTCATAAGTGCAAATTTTTTTACCCTAATTGTTACATAGTTATCACTTTACGAAAGAATAATACATTTTTGAAGCTAAAAACATTTAATTGCTGAAATGGCGCTTTTCTGAAAATTTCGTATGTCCCATATCGAGACTTGCGCGCGTTAAGTGAAGAAAAAAAATGGTACTGAGAGGAACGAAGCAGTGTTTATACTGTTTTTCGATATTGTTTTCTCGTCTATCGTATATAAAAAACGAGTATGCATAGGAGTAAATATATATCATAATAATGATGATAGATAGACAGGTGAGAGAAACGTGAACCAGTTTATACGTAATTAGACATTTCTGTGTGTTTTAACAGTGTGTAACAATTTACGATATGTAATTATGTGTGTATGTGTATATGACATGACCCTATAAAAATTAACTTGTATTCCAAATAATCAATTTCTTCGTCCAACATTCTATTATTGAATAATTTTTTAATTTCGTTCTAAATGGATATTTCAAAATAAATAAATAAACAAATGATTATAAACAACTATACAAGAAATATTATTAAAAAATCTTAGAAAATAATAGTTTTAATTCGTTTAATCCTAACCTCTTGATGAATTCTTATCGTACATACGTACGGTTGAAATTGTACTAGAATTTATCACGATATGAATTGGCCATAAATTTTCTGTTTATCTAATTTAAGACTCTTCAAGTTTTGTATTGAATACCTTGAAAAGTTTTATGAATCATTTCGATAAAGAAAACATGCAATACAACGAATATATATATAGTTATATATAAAGAGATGTTTACATACATTAGTTTCATTATATATATATATATATATATATATATATATATATATATGTATACATATATTAAAAAAAAAAAAAATATATATATATATATATATATATACCCACATGATATTCTTATTCGATTCAAGTATTTTGCAGTTTACAGATCAATTTAATCTGTCATTTGTTCAACTACACGTAGTACCTATATAAGTATTAATAACATCGAGAATATACTTAAAGAAAAGTTTGTAATTGGATGCCTCGTAGTGAACACACCCGTTTTACCAAGGCTATGGAAACTTTTTTGCTAAGGAAGCCAATTTTTTGTTGGCTCATTGGTCGAGAATATCGAAGTTTTCTCTTGAGTGCACCTTCTAACAATGCTTTTAACGTTATTGGCAAACAATTGTTTTATATCATCGATAACGTAAGCATATAAAGAGAGACGTAGAAAAAAGAAATAAAAATAAAAAAAAAATAAAAAAAAAAATAAAAAAAAATAAAAAAAAACCCAAGATAAAAGTAAAGAGCCTGAGGTGGGTCACGTTTCTGGCAGAAAGCCGAAGTAAGCCGAGCATGGAGACATTCGATCGATACGTTCGAAGACTCATGCTTTGAATCTATTAAATTTTTAACTGACACTTGTAATATTTATACATATACGTATGGAAGCGCGCATACACCATCTTATAACACCATCGAAAACCGATACTTTATTTCTTTATTTATTATTATTATTTTTTTTTTTTTTAAAGCGAACTTCATAAGATATATTTCAATCGCAAAATTATTAATTAGGTCATCATTTCTGCACTTATCGACAACTCACATTTTCCTCATGTCTTACCTCTCCGTTTAAATCCACATTATGCTGCTGCTCCTTTGGCTCCTTGTCTGGTGGTATCTCCAAAGTTGCGTCGTCGAAGAACTGTTCGTACTTCGTACTACTCGTATCTTTCATTTCTACGTCACAAAGTTTTCTCGTTTCCTTACAATAAATCGTTTCTTCTAGAGTTCGTCTTCTCCTTCCTTCTATCCCTCTTAAGAATATTCAAAACGTATCGTGAGGAGAATAAAGAATGATCATAAGTGTCAATGTGTGTGTATATATACACACACACACACACACACACACACACACACACACACACACACACACACACACATATATATATATATATATATATATATATATAACACGTATAAAGAAGATTGAAAAATGTATCCGTCGATAAAAAAGAACGACTATTGTCCGATCGAGATAGTTTCAATTTAATTTTTTAGTTTTTACTCAAAATATTAATCACTCATGATATTATCAACCGTACCTTCTTCATATGTCCTCCCTGTTTTCCTTTCCTTTTTTTTTTGCTCTTTTTGATTTCCCTTTTTTCTGTTGGAATGAGAAATAATGACAATTAATTTATATATACATATATAGTGAAGAGGAGACTTAAATATTCGTATAATAAGAATGTATTTCCAGATTCCAATTGTACGAATACTTTAATTCCATTCTCTCTCCTTTACTGTATACAAATAGATATATACAATGTATAGTATTTAGAATAAACAGTGCTTTGAGTGCCCCAAGTTCTATACTTGTTCGTTCGCCATCTCTACGCAATTTCTAGTCACGCGAAGGTCGGAGATATACTTAAACGATATATATGTACATACATATATCTAGATGTAAAATATGTTGTGAGAAACGAATATTCTGTGACCTCGAGAGACTCTTCTGTATGTGTCCTTGTGCTATTCCTAAGTACGTATTCGAGCAATAAACTCGAGGAAAGCTAGAATGAAAACGGTTTGCGTTCGATGGGTGGTTACAAGACTCGAATGTATTGTTCGGTGTTGTGAGTATCGATCAGCAAGGAAGAAGCTCATCAAACTAGTTCATGAAATATTTACACGCTCGAACGATATTACACCATTAACTCATTATCCTGTTTATTTAAATAGACTTTGTAGATAAAGGACAAAACACGATCTCCTTTTGTTCTTTTTCGAATTTCGTGATATAATTAAATAAAAAAAATAAAAAAATAAAAAAATAATGATAATAATCATCTTTATTTCATTCTCATAAACAACTTTAAAAAAAAAAAAAAAAAAAAAAAAAAAAATCTTTAATAGGTCAACGAAGAAAATAATTATAAAAATAACTATAATATATTAATAGTATTAATATAATATAGTAATTATTATATAATATATATAATAATTATATTATATTAAATAATAAAAAAAATATATTCAATTTTTTTTTCGAATCATTTATAATCAAACTACACGATCATATCCTTTAAACGATTATTCAGATTATAACTACACGGAAATAATTATACGCAAATGTATATATAAGCAAGTATATGGTGAGTACCAGTCAGTACTAGCCAATTTGTAATTATTCATCCTGGTTCTATTCCTTTTCCCTCTCCCACCCATGCCTACGACATTATAATCGATTTGAATCGAATGTCATGAACAATGAAAAAAAGAACGGAATATCTCAACGATCGGTGATTTTATCTCAATTTTATTAAAGCCACACGAGTTTTCTTTCGAATGAGGACAGTAAAAGTCGTTAAAACATCAATTTCCCATACCTGACATGAAAAATGATGACGGAAATTATTACAATGAAAGTTAAATTCGTATATAGAAAAGAAACGTTTAATTAAATAAAACTAACATACTGTTCCACTACTATGAATTTCATAATCGAACTAAATTCCATCGTGATATGTTTATTGACAACGAAAAAACGATAGTTATTTTATTCCCGAAGAGAATGCAAAGGAGCTTGCGTCGAGTCTCTCTCTCCCAGCTTTCGAAAGCTCGATGAACTAGGCCGATAGGTATCGAGTTAACGTAGGTTAGTAACCGAACTGAACTTGTTCCCAAGTACAATTTTTCGAAAATACTTAGCCAGAAGATACAAGAAACATCGAGAAAACATACGTTTCTATGAAAAAAAAAAAAAAAGAAAAGAAACAAAGACAGAAAGAAAAAAAGAAAACCGAAGAAATAAAAATTACAACAGCTAGTAGAATAAAGCGGTACAAGTGTGTGCTACTTGACGGCGAAAATCAATAACTCGGTTCGGGTCGATGCACTCGACTTGATCGTCTCTCTCAGCTCTTCCAAACGATTTCAATTAATGTCGCGTTACTACGACGTTGTCTTGTCGTAGATTCGAGAAGCAACCGTTAAAGAATAATAACGATGTGCGGAATCACGTACAATGTGTCACGTAACGTAAGAAAAAATGAATAAACCTAAAAGTATACCGAAGGCACGATCGATGAGAAGTGTATATGCTCTTACTCTTTCTCTCTCTCTCTCTCTCTCTCTTGACAAATTCTCAAAGTTTTTTCAAGACAATTTCAGAAGACACTACTCGTCGTCCAATTTGTATACTTTGATCATCTCTATCGTTCTTTTAATGTGAGAAATGAACTTGAGACTCGTACACGCAACAGAATAAATTTCGAAAGAAGCATCGAATGAGTATGACCTCACCGCAAGCGACGAACTGACGCGACTAACTCGCTACGATCTCACGCGAATGCAACGCCACTCGCGGGGAACAAGCACGTGCGCCGTGGGAGCTTTTTAGCAGTACGCGCTAGCTCGCGTTCTCGTGTGCGCCACCTTGAAAGGTTGATTATTTTTTCGATAAATTTGTCTTCTCCCCTACCATCCCTTCTCCTCTTTCTCTCTCTATTTTCTCTCTCATTCTTTCTTTTTCTTTTCTGCATACTCTAAACGTTTTTTAAGTTACGAACGAACGTTTAGCCTTGGCTCGAACGGAACATTACATGCATAATTTAACTGCTAACACAATTTTATTCATTCGAACAAATGAATTAATTAATATATCTCGTTCGTTTAAATAAATTAAAAAAAAAAAAAAAAGAAGACAACTAATCGATCTTATTTCTAATGTGACACTACATTGGATAGACAATGTAATATTGTTCAAATATATATGTTATAACGATAAAAAGGTGCAGCAGGGTGTCATATTGATCACACTTGTTCAGTTGTTCTGTGCACATGTCACTTGATATTTATAAAAGGTATGTAGATAATTCAAATTTAAAGTTTTATATTTGTATATAATTATGTAGAATATTATATTATGTTGTTTTGAAAAATACTTATCAAAAAGAATTATTATGTAACAAAGAAAATAAAAGGTATTCCTTGTTTGATCGATGAGATGAGCCCGGCGTTATTATGGATATATAGATATAGCGAATAGAAAAACGAGGATTGATATGAGTAGACGGGGAAGATGAATAATGATTTTCGACAATCGTAAAGAGAAGACAACGAATTGACCGGCTACTATCTACGTATACCGGCGCGGATTTGACAGGGTGCAATTCTGTCATTGAAGTTTCTCTTTCTCTCTCTCTCTCTCTCTCTCTCTCTTTTCTGTCTTTCATCTAGTCTTCATTCTTATTGGTCTTTCTCTCTCTCTTTCTCTTTCTATTAACTCTCCGTGCATAGAAGAGATGCGTATAACCTCTAATGGAGGAAACGCGAGTATCCAAGAACCGATCGACGTACTGTGAAATGGTCTGCCCTTCGGCAGAGGAATTAAGTGTTATAAAAAATAGCATATGCTGTGAGCAATGCGGTTTATTATTCCGAAACGAGCCACGATATCGACTGCACAACTTGAAGGTACATCAAAGAAAAAAATTAGGAAAGACCATAAAGGAAAACGTTCATTATCACTGCCCGGTAGAAACTTGTGTTTATGCGCCAGAATCGGAAAGATATTTTACGACAATGAAATATCTGAAGCAGGTTGGTTAGTGTGAGTAGATAATCAAGAAATCGATGCAACCATTTTACTCCTTTGATGCAGCATTATCTGAAGGTGCATGCAGAGAAGACTTTCGCGTGTACACGTTGTGCTAAAAGTTTTTCGACCGAAGCTGCGAAGGAGGGACACATGAGGATATGTGGTATAGAATTTTCCTGTTATTGCTCGAAAACTTACAGCACTTATGAGGCACTCCTTACCCATGCTAAAAGATCTTTGCATACTATAGACAATAAATATAAGAGTTCTTTAAGGTAAGGTCAATTCGTAGGAAAGTGATGGTCTTTAATTTTGAAGATAATTTAATGTATATAATTTACAGACATGCGCAATTACAATGCTTATTTTCAGACGAACCAATTCAAAAATGGCCCGTAATATTTCTTTGTCTCCTACTGTCATATCTACGGTAAATAAGCCTGTTAATATTTTACCAAGTCAGAATAATAACAAAGGAAATAATTCTAATGTTAATGTAACTGAAAAGATCACTGTTAATATCGGTGTACAAACCGATGAGTGTAAAAAATATAGAAGAGCATCAAGTCCATTGAAACAGGTAACCAATAATAATGGAACCAGTGGAAAGCGAAGAGTATCTAAACAAACGCAAACGATCAGAATACAAGATCAAAAACATGGTGGTAGATCAATGGAGACTCAAACTCCCGATACTAAATTCATTGGAAAGGAACCCCTTAAAGTTAGAAAACGTAGAAAGAGTAATTCAATATCGAAAAAACCAGAATCTTCACTACTCAAAGAAGATACCATTATGGAAGATAATTTCACTTCTTCCAATTTATTTCCTGCTAGTCCTTTGCCATTAAGACATGATGTAGGCTTACAAGACTTTTGGGAAGAAAAAAACAATTCTGATACACAAACGATACCGGAGAAAGATATGTTTGAAGCATTACATGATAATGTTTCTCAAACAGATTTAGAAACCTTTTACAGTCATAGTAGTAGTTCACTGATACAATGCTTACCTAAGAGCACCGTAGCATTAATGACATTACCTTATACAGAAGATTCCACTGTTCAAGAATATTCGTTTTCCTCTACAAATAATATATCAAGGTCAGATCCAATGTTAACTGAAAAAACGTTCCATGACAAATTCAGTAGTATAGAGACTCAAACTGAACAAGGATATTCTCAGACGTTTTTTGACTCTGATGCTTTATCTAGAACTTTTGCTTTGAGTTCTACCATTGAAACTCAAACAACAGATAATTTTGATAATATGGAACAATTGTTCTATAACAATACTTACACTCAAACTTCTGATGAAATGATATCATCCGATCTAGTGTTAACTAATATTCAAACACAAACTGCTTGGACGCAATTGGACGATACAACGGTTTCTGCTGAAACTCAAACTAAGTCGCTAATTTGTGAAACAGGTTGCAACATCTCAATGGGTGCTTGTCGTTCATGGCTAAATGCGCAAACAAGTCATACTGAAACGCAAACTGATTTACTTAGCATATTTGAAGGACTTCAGTAATAGCAAAATATATTAAGAATCATTCATACTTACATATACCAATACTTACGTTTTGTTTGTCGTTTTGTAAGTAAGAACTTGCCTATTTCTTCGAAACTGCGTTTTGTTGAATCGTGAACTATTTTTCGAAACGTTATGTGATAATTCATAGCATTTTATACAACGAACACTGCCATAATATGATAATAATTTACTTAAGATATAATTCTGTTTATTGGTATCCAAATTTGTGTAATATATGCACTTTGTCTTTTTTTTTTTTATTGTCAAAATAAAATCATCTGCCTTTAGTGTAAAAAATGATTTTGCAAAGTTGTAAGGCTGCAGAGGTGCAATACACGTATCACTCTTAGGATTCCAGTAGTTTAATATATTTTTTTTTAACTTAAATTGAAAGCAATTGCACAATGATATGATGCTGTATTTGTTAGCATAATTGTTACTGAAATCCTCTTGGATTAACGTGTATTTATTAAACAATATTCATAAAAGTTGCGTTGCATGATTCAATGTATGTATCGATGAGGTACGTACGTTATACTGTCATTTTGGTCGTACTCAAAAATATGTATATGAAAAATATAATACCTGTTTGTTTATCCCTTAATTAACACCTAGTGGAAATTATTTAACTGTAGTCTGTATATCAAGGATATAGCTTTTAAAATATATCCTCTTTGTAATAGTTGTTAATTATACGCTTCAAAGATTAATGAGAAATATTAAAATTACTCGTCGTACGTCTGTACCTCTGGGTGTCGAAGTTAGATGCATTTTAGAATCTATTCTTAACTAATACAAAAGTACAACAAACACGTCATAAATAACATATTACACAATCGAATCTAAATTATCAATCGGCGCAAATATGCTCGGCACTATTGCGAGAGCACGAGGAACTTAGCGTTGGTTGAGGTTTGAATATAAAAAAGAGGTATGATAGATTTGTATTATGGAAATGTGAATGCATAGGGATCGTTCAAAGTGCAGGACCAGCAGCATTATTTTCATCCAAATCGGGTAAGAAATCTTTGGTCGTATCTTCTATTCTGTCTACATTTTCAAGGGTAGAGGCAAGTACCCTTAGATTCTCCACTCCAGACATCAATTGTCTATGTCAAAATATATACATTTAAAATGAAAAAAAATTATATGTACATGCATATACCTTAATATATATGTTTTTTTTATTTTATATTAGAAAAAATTATTACCTGAGTGAAATTTCAGCTGTTGAAGCAGCAGTTCTTAATTCACTAGCGAGTCTTCGCACGGTTTTATCCACGTTCTCTGAAGTTATACCGTCTTCATTCTTATCTGTAGTAGCAACGGCAGATCTAAGTTCCCTATTTTCCAATCGTAGTTGCGATAGTTCTGTCTAAATTAGGGTTACAATTTGATTGATATAATTCTTGTATATTGAATACATTCAAAATTTATACTAACCGTTAATGCTTTAATTTCTTTTTTTAATGATGTTACAGTATTTTCTGCACTGAGTGCTCTTTTCTGTGAAACAAAAAAAAATCAATAACACTTCATTCATCTTTCAGAAGTAATTGAATGTAATCTAAATTGAAGATCATTTAAATTTGTATTTACCGTACTGCGTTTTAAATTATCTTCAACTTGTTCCACTGCTTTTTCAAGATGTGCAGTTTCTTCATAATCTACTTCTTTTCTAGAAGCAAGTTCTGCTTCCAACATTTGAATTCTGTAATAAGATTCTTTGATGTCAGTAAGTGTAAATGATTTTCAAGATATAAGATGAGAATAAAAAAAAACAACTTGCCTAATTGATTTTTCATTAATTTTTCTACGAGCTGAGTCCAATTCTTGTCTCAACCTATCATTTTCTAATAAAAGCTGTGAAAGAGCAGCTTCTGTATATATACGTATTTATTACGTTTTTACAATTTTATAATAATAAAATACATACCCTTCGTTCTGTTGATTCTACCATATTAGATTGCGAATTAGATCCAATATCATTGGAAAGATTTGTTCTACTATGAATTGGTCCATCATTTAAGAAATCTGGCAATAATTTGGGTACACTTGAATCATTTGTTGGTGTACAATCTCTTGTAACGACATTATTACTAATTTCTGGTTCTAATAATAAAAAAATAAGTCAATATAATAAACTTAAGAAATAAAGAGAACAGTATATTAATTTTCTATGTTAT